AGAATTTAATTATACTTCCGCGTTGGCTGGCCTGACAAATAGTGTCGGGCGCCATCATGACCTATTATGAAAAATGGGTCGTGACAACTTACCTTTTACATCCATCACTTTAAAACTTGAGAGGGTAAAGTAGAAATGATCATTTTCTATTCTTTATATTTACACAAAAGCTTTGATGTTTGACAATTCCCCATTATTTCTTGATCAAGCTAAACCATTATTGTTGATTTTCAAAGCTGTTCCGCAATTTGCCTATATTTACAGGGACGGTAGCATGAAATTAGATGCTTATAGTAAAATTCAATCAGGAAACCTAATGTTAAATATTTGATTTAGCTGTTAAAAATCCTGAACAACTATTAATATTAGTCGGCCTAAAGCAAGAAGAATTACCCTATTGGAAATTCATAAATCAGGTAGCCTAATGCTAATGAAATATGATTCAATGTATCAAGTAAATCTTAAGAGGACCCCATGAATTTATCGGTAGGCAATATTTTTGATAAACTATTAAAATTAGAGAACTTAATGCTAGAACCCCATAGGATAATTATTCAATTAGAAATCTAGCATAATGTTAGTCCAGTTATATACCACATTAGGTTTGCTATGAAGAGTCACCTCTTGTAACTCAACTTAATCTGATACAAAAAATCTATGCATAGTGTGGACATACCTTAAACTCAACCTTTCTAATCGGCTCAAAGTCCACCTTTCTCTTAGCGCACTTAAGATTGAGCCTTTCTTTTTCCCGGTTCATACTCTTTCATAAAGAAAAGGCAGTGCGGTGAAAAAAGTATCCCGCGTTCACAGCGTTCGGGAAGGGCCGCATCCTAAAAGGTGTGATATAGATAATATACCCTGATGTAAGCATTAGTGATTATTTTTACGGCTCGAACCGTGATCTATAGATCACATAGAGACAACTTTACAGTTGCTCCAAGGCTCATAAATGGCATAAATATTCCGTTACTTGTTTAAAGTAAATCTTGTGAAGTAGTCTCTCCTTCAATATTCAGGAATTACTCAACCTGTAGATTCACATGATTAAGTATAACAAAGTTGGAAAGGATAAAATTTAAAGTAAGTGGAGATTAGAGGCAAGGGTAAGAAGTAATCCAGAGATGTAAACCTATTATGAGAAAGAGTACTCGTGGTCGTGGAAGGAATAATTTCAAAGTCAAAAAGGTAAGAGATAGTGCAACATGAAAGCTGTGATCCCATTCAAATTAAATTAGCTGTATTCTTGATGGTGGAATACGCTATCCTCTATATGTTGTTTCAAATATGGGGCTACTCTAATATTTCTCTTTCTGCCACATTTTTGGTAAAGATTAGGCCTTATCTTTCCACAGCACAAATTAATGAAGATAATCTGGTCTATTTTTTGACTCTTGCGGCCTGGTGAACCACAAAAGAACGTATTACACGAACCACGAAAGAAAAGTAAACGAGGAACTGAAATATAGGATAATGTGTTATCGATTCGACTTGCTTTAGGTCATTCAAAAATGATATCTTATCTATTTAACACATTTAGTGCAATACCCAAACTTTAGACAGAGTTCCACATCGGCAAAAATTCTGGGTATATAAGTTAACAAGCCTTAAATCCTAGTGATACGTTTTAAACCTGTGAAGACCTAGGCCATGAGCAGACAATATCACTAGAGGGCTGGACGATTACATTTAGAGTGTCGATTTTAATAGATAAAAATGCAATCGCGGCTCGGACTTGAGTTAAATGGATAGAGTTACTACCAAAGGATACACGGACTTGAGTTGAATGGATAGAGTTACTACCAAAGGATATGGTGCAGTGCAGGGGTGTACATGGACCGGGTTAGTTCATTTTTTATCAAAATCAAACCAAACCATATCGGTTTGGATTGGTTTGGTTTTGTCAAATTTTTGGAGTTTTTCGGGTTTTTTGTTACTTAAATATTATTTCAATCTTACTTTATTAAATTTTTGATAAGTAAATCTATGTTTAGTAAAAATATAAAAAAATATGACAAACATATTATCTATTAAATTATTTTTATGAGAGAATTTTTTTAATAACACATAATAGTTATTTTTTTTGTCGTCTGACAATAATGTTTCGTTGATTTATACTTTCAAGGTTAACTGAATTTAGTAATTAAACATAAAAATTAATATGATACCTAAATAATATTAATCACTTCACATTCGAAAGATATAATAATTTAATAGATCGTAACTATGATATGAATATGGAAGAACAAACAGATTGACGCATTTGAGTAACACTTGATGAGAAAGTGATCATACAAACCATTATTTAAATTTAATAAATATGGAGCACTTCATATACTATTAAATATTATATCCCGCAAGAGAATTCCAAATACTTCTACACAATATTTTTTAAAGAAAATTCTATATAAAAATTTGATAGAGTTATGACACATTTCTCAACAAATTCTTAACCTGATATAAGCTTTAGTCGAATAAATTAGGTCATGACTTCAGCTTTAATGAAACCTGCGCAGTTAATTAATACACCCACTTATAATCCTAACTACTATTTTAATTAAGACAAGATTGATCTATTCTAAGCGTCATATAATTTGCCTTAACGAATTAAACATGGACCCACCAACACTACATAAACCTCAATCAGCAGTCCTTTGTACGTAATAAACACACAGCTTTTTAAGCCCCATGCTTTGTTAAAGCAAAATCTAACATAAAATTTGACCAACATGATTGGTTATGCTCATTCATTATTGTACTTGAAGAATATCCATTCCCTAACTTTGTCACCATATAAGCACCAGACATTGATATGGCTTTGGTGGGGCCATATTCAAGTCGAATTATTCTTGCTTTCTAGTCATTGAACACTATACATAGGAATCTCAATCTCTAAGGATTTTTCTATTTTTGGCTTTGGCATCTTACTGCCGGGCCAATGCTTGAAGGGAGAAATATATCAAACTATTAAGTGTTTCTGAAAAAAATTATTCACAAATGTGAGAGGGGTTAGAACAAGTGGATAGGCTTCATTGAAAGGAAAAAGACATTACCCTATCTATGTCTTCTTTGCCTTCCATATATGCTAACTTTTCTATGCACGCAACTTGCAAGGTCTGTAAATATTAAGAAAATTTGTGTTTAATAATCTGGATCTGTCACGGTAAAAAACTAAGCTTAATCACATTATTACACATTATTAAGAATAGAATGATTGCAATAATTTTTTAAATATAACTCGTAAAAATGATACTTAGCTCCTGCTGTTTCATTACTCACACTTTCCTTTTAATCTATTCTAAAAAGAATGAAACCGGTTTCTTTTTAAGAACTTGAGGGCCTGATTGTTCCAGAAGCATAATTTTTTGGGGCTCACTTAATATAAAAGTTCGTTCTTTTATAAGTAGAGAGAAAATAAAAAAGATATGTGTGTTGCGGAAGCCAAATGTATATAGTGCGAATGAGTCACAACTACTATACCAAAAATAAGACAATAAAGCAACAATAAAAGGAACACCAGAATTTACGAGGTTCGGACAAATTGCCTACTTCCTCGGACACAACCAATATTTTATTCCACTCCAAAAATACAAGTGAAATAATACTAAAGAGAGAAGATACAAATGCCTTAAACAAATGAGAAGGCAAATGAGAGGTGTATTTAAATCCTAAACATTAGGCCTCCTTTTATAGGGAGAAATCCTCCCCCAAATGAAGTCTCCCACCGATGTGGGACTTTGACATTTCAACAATGTGAAACTCATAGTCAGGGGCGTATGTAGACCATAACTTTCGATACGGAACATAAATTTATGTGCAAAACTTACTAAAATTGCAATAAATAGTATATTTGAACCCATAGTTTTAAAAATATAATGAGTTCAATGCTAAAAATCTTAAAGGCCGAACCCATACAATTTAAATCCTGAATCCGCCTCTGCTCACAGTCATTTATTTAAAATAATAATTTTGGCACTTTGCATATAAATCTGGCTTTACTTGCATAAGTTCAACTTTTTGATATCTCAAAAAACTATGTTCATGTAACGCTTTTACATAAAATGTGA